ACAATGASCAATGATTCCTTCAATCCTCAGACCACATTCCTCCAATCATTTCTTAATAGAACTGTTAAGGTAAATGTAAGTGGCCTTCTTCTTTTCAAAATATTAGATATTACCTGGAGGGTTGGCAGTATGAGAATAACAACTGATCAATTAATATTYATTCATGGTTAACATGATTATATGACCATGTGATCATATGATCATTGATTTTTTTCAAACTATTTCATGAATAAACATATGAAGTTGCACTCTACCTTCAAAAGGAGGCTAACAAGACAAGAAATACATAAGTAGACTCATTTTGTAGCCTCCCTTCCTCAGCAACCTTCCCCCAATTGTGTTCAATGGAGTAAAAGCTGCTAACTTTATAATCTACATGTATTACTAAGTATTGTTTGAAACACAAGAGAGTGTGTTTTATCAGGTATAAAGATTCAAGCCGTGTTTTAAACGGCTTAAAAAACTCCAACACTAATTTGAAACTCAAATCCGTTAAAATTCTTGGAGAAATTCAGCAATTCTAATTTATGGCTGATATTTACAGTCATTAGGTTCAGACAAAATGGTTTCTCATTATGTTATCAATCTAACTGAAGTTCACAGACAAGAAAAGTACCTTGTGGTAAGTGTGATTTGTAACAATTTAYAATTATTAGTAATAATCAAGATGAAAAATTTCTGTTTGTCTATTATATAGTAAACTTTTCCCAAGTCTCATAGTTTCAATAATATTACAGCTACACCTACATGTACTTACAGAAATGTTGTCATAGAAAATAGAACATTTGAATTTAGTAAAAAGGAATTAATTAAAACAAGTCAAGAGAAAGCGTTCAGCCTCTGTCGTTTTTAATTTATTCCTTTTTACTAAATACAAATGTCCTAATTTTTCTATGACAATGTTTTCGCAAGTAGGTGTATGTTCTTGCTAAAATGTTCTTTCTTCGTTGCAGCTCTTCTTTGATTAATATTTATCTAGTAGTCAAAATTATTATTATTATTTAGTCATGATTAATTATCACTAGTTTAGTCAGCCATGTGATACCCTTTGAGCCCTGTCATTTGAAGATTTTTCCAGATGACAAAGGAAATGACTTTTGCTCTCTTAAGAGTTATGTACCGTTATGTACACTTGAAGAATCTATTTTTTTGAGGCCAAGATGCACATGGAGCCTTATTCATACAATAACTGCAAGGGGTCATTTTAGCATTACTCTACATGTATATCCGTGCAACTATAAGATCATGATACGAATCAAAGCAGGTTTTATATACTGTTAACATTATTTTCCTATAATTATTCTTAAAGCTACGAGAAATTGATTGGGAAAGCTCTGGCTTATTGCTTCATGACCGTCGTTGCGATGTGGCCTGCTTTCTGTTTGACTCCACYGATGCAGCATCATTTGCACAAATTGTACAACTACAGGAGAAACTTCCCAAAACAGTKCCATGTTTGTTTATCTCAACCAAAAATAAAAGATCTGTTGTTAGACAAGTAAGTCATCATGTTTAAAAAGTTGTTAAAAGTCCGCTGTATTGTTTTGTCTTTGTCTTTGTCACTGCCATGGGATCTAGCACCCAGGCCATCCCCTCCTAATAATTTTGCGAAGTGTTTTTTGTTACAAGTCCCATAATACTTTGTGTCTTGATTTTTTTGTTGAAGATACTGTTTTCAATTTCTTTGACCTAAAAGTACCAATGGTTTTTTTTTTGCTGACTTTGAAATTATCATGAGTATGAATACAATGATTTAGTTCCTCTGAAAAACCTTCCTTTCTTTCATCATTTCCAAAGAGGTACAGTGCTGAATGCTAAATTATGTTTCTTGTTTGTTTTTTGTTTTTTTTAATTCCAGGAGTATGAACTACAACCAGCAATGTATACGTCACTTAATAAACTACCAAGTCCAATGGTAAGTCAAGCTTACAAYGAAGGAAATGACCCCTGCATGGAAAAGTGATTAAGACAAAAACCGTTTTCTTTTCTTTACACAAGAAACCACTATATTTTATTAACATGTTTGATATGATTGTGTTTCAAGATTTTAAGTGAAAAGCCTGAAGAAAATCAAGAAATTTATACCAAATTAGCATATATGGCAGTTTACCCGTAAGTTTCACACTACCCTGGGCTTCCTGTGGATTATTGACACAGGGAACCCATGCAAGTAGTTATGTTCAAGTTCAATGTTCTAATGTGATTGACGTTCATTCATTGCAGACATTTATGTGGACCAAATGCCAACAACATGGGTTCGTTTTGGCTTTTTACTGGACTAGGTGCAACAACAGTTGTTCTCTTAGCATTTGTTGCATACAGATACTTTCGCAAGGGTAGCAGTACGTAACGGCGTCACAAGAATSTGCTATTCCTTGGACATTGACTGAACATGGCCAGTTGTTTTATCTCACTGAACTTCCTCAAACTTTTTGGGTTTCCCAYGCATGGAAATAAAACAACTAAATTTTGATTTGTTGCTTGTTTAATAAAGTTCTCCACAAGGGACYTGCTAAGAGAAGCCACTCAGACACTGGATAAGCTCTTGGCAGCAGATAAAACAAAATAAAACATTTAAAGCTCTCCAAATTTTTCTCCCACTCTATCTGACAGATCAATAGCAATGATAGGGATACACTTTTCATTGATTGTAGCAATTCTGGAACCCTACTATTTTTGTTTGACTTGCCTCAACATTGTTCCATTGCTATGTGAAAAGTAGGTGATTTTGCAATGTAATAAAAGAATCAGACCCAACTTCTACTTGGATCCTAAGAGGAATTATTGCGCCAGKAATAGACCTCTGAAGCCTTTACGTCATATACAGTATGCGCAATGTATTTTAGGATATGTTTGGACAAAACATGGCAGATTTCTATTTTCTCCAGAAACTGACATTTTGATCCCAAAATGCATTGCAAATCACATAGATGACAAAATCTTCAGAAGAGAGACAATAGACCAATCCTGTATTTGCTTGGATGAACATGAAACAATCACTTCATTTTGAGGCTGGAGTTTTCAACTAAAGATAAAACTCCAGCCTTGAAATGAAGCCATTGCTCCGTGTTCATCCAAGCGAATGCTGGACTAGTCTATTCTAAGTGCAAGAGCACCTTTTGGAAATAAATTCACAAATACTTTTTTTTCAGGTGTATTTTATTTTCTTTACATTCTTCAATAGAAGAAACCCAAAATCTTTCCACCAGTATGCTTTCGTCTGGCTTCCTCGTGGTCCATAATTCCAGTCGATGTAGTTAAAACTAAGTAACTGTCAAGGAAGAACACTATAATGTCAATATTTAGGGATAAAAAATCTATGGTAACAGCCCAGAGTGGACAGTTGCATCAATCCCAAACTACCATAACCTTTTATCCATTGTGATACAAATTTTCAAAAGTGATTGCATTTKTATTGCAATATTTTTGTTAATGTGTTAGTGTGGTTGGGTTTGCTAAGTGAACAGCCCAGCCCCCCTTCACAACTGCAATTAGCACTAGACCACTCAATAAAGGGTGGATTTCACTAGCGCATAAGCATAGGCATTAGCACAAGAAAAACAGCAAGKCTTGATATTCTTGGGCTTATCTCAATGCTTATGCTCAGTGAGAATGGGACTGCACAGGCATAAGCATAGCCAAGAGACAATAAACCAATCACGAAGAATCTTGTGCGCATGCTCAATGTCTTATGCTTATGTCGAGCAGTTCTCACTGGCGCATATGATTCTTATGTTTGTGCTTATGCCTATGCTTATGTGCTAGTGAAATCCACGCTTCAACTAAACTGCACCATTGACAACTGACTTTTTTTTATTTTGATTTTACACTGTCTATCACTAAATTGCATGTTGTGAATTTTGTCTGGGCTTTTTGTGTAGCAATGAAAATAACGATAACTACAAACGTGGAATGCTAACTCATTAGATGCTTTTTACTTCTGCCAATAACATCTCAGAATTCTTTCTCAGACTCTAAGTCAAAACCAAACATAATATATGTACATTCTTTGGTTAACTTCATATCTAACTGCCAACTTACCCAAACTGTCTAGATGGTAGGAGATTGCTGGCCCAGTGTTCAATTTCACGGACACCAACATCAAATCGAGGGCTGATAACGCCACACTGTGARCAATAAGAAAGTAATGGCATGCTTTAGTAAATCACAAATAATTATTAATAGGTGATTCATTGAAAAAAGCCAAATATATCAAAAACACATAACGCTTTCCTGTAATGCTCTTAGCACTTTAAACTTACTTAAGAAATTACCTTATGATAGTAGCATTAGTATCTACGAATCAATATGTATATATAGCTACCTTGTTAAGTCTTCCATTGAGGTTGACAACAATCTTGCCTGCACGGTGATCATCAACGATTTCAAATTCTCCAATGTAACCTAAGGATGTTAAATTGCTGTGAGATTTAGATTAAACAGTGACCCTGTTTGCATGAAGAACAACTCACACAATTCATACATTCATAGACGGATAAAACAATCATTAATAAAAAATACGATTATACGGACACAATAATTGAAAATGCTCCTATAACTATCTAAACAAAGTAAAATAATCGATGAAAATTCACGTGTTAGGGCGCTAGTTATGATCATTTCATCGACTATCTACGAGTCAGACATGTTTTCCATTTTYCACTCACTCACCATGTTTCATCATCACASTTAAGAACTTGACGACGACCTTGGAGTTAGGCCTGATAAGAACTTGTCTTTTTCCACGTTTCTCAGCATTACAGATTGAATTGAGCGCGTCGTTTAAGACGTTTACTCGCACCATCTTGCCTGTCAAGGGATCAGAAGATGGCTTATGTTATTACCTCTCCATAGCTCAAAATACTACTCAAATTGATAAAATAACAACGCAGAGCAAGAGAAMAACTATTAAGGTTTATTTTGATACCATATAAAGGAGATTTATTAAAAAGATGATGAAGATATTGTAAAGATTTGATAACAAACTTTTCTACCTGGTGGAAGTCTTAGCAGAGAGAGAGAAAGAACATTCGACCCAGGTCTCCATATGCAGCSGCGGCAGCCTCGCTACCATGTTCTACACACTCAGGCTTCCYGAASAAAACAAGCTGTTTCTAATGATATCATTGTTCCATTCTTCCAAGTGGCTCATTTAAGGAACTTTTAATAACTTCTCGATTAGAAAGCAAATATAAAGCTGTTGGATGGCGTAGTCTATGTTTTTCTTGGACACACGTGGACGTATAAAACACAGAAGACTTCTTATTTTGGTGGGAATCACCTAGGTAACCCCKAAAGMAGACTCGCTTGCCTTCATGCAGCTTCGACACTTACTATAGCTCTACAAATACTATAATACAATGTCAATATTAGRGCAATTGAATCACTGATTGACGCTAATGTTTGAAACTGGATGTAATTTGAAGCCTAGTAGTAAAGTGGAATCGATTGTAAAATAGCGTGATCTAGATTCTTAGCGTTTTATTATAATTTATGTACAAACATGTTTACAAGAGAAAAGACGAAAAACAAAGTAGACCCCGGAGGAACAAAGCGAAGCAGAAAAAGTCAAAAACCCGCATGGGAGACCCTGTTCAACACTCAAGCCAAAGATCAGCAGCGACAAATTGCTGAAAAAGTRCGATTCTGGAAAGAGAGAGCGATGCATAGCGAAGACGATGARAGTGATGATGACTACGATCTTCAAAATACTTCGAGTTCACCAAACCGAGCCTACAATCTTTCAGCGAGTATGCCTAGAGGCCAGGAGAGGCAATGGTCAAACGCAAGGGGAAAAAGACAAAACGACAAATTAAGTCGATCATGGGGACCAAATAGCTTCCAACATTCGAATGATTTCCAGCATTCAAATGGCTTACAACGTTCAAATGGCTTGMAACATTCAAATGGCTTCCTGAATTCGACAGAAATGTACAATTCTAATGAATTTTCCCAATCAAACGGTGCTTTGGACGGTCTTTGGACAAGTAAAACAAGGGGAAGCCCCACAAGAGGAGAAGTGACAATTGAAGGGGATTTTCAACTTTATCCTGGCTATCCCCCAATCCCSCACYGCCTCGTTTCAAAKATTCAAAAAGGACAGTATGTCAATTTCCAGGAATTGTTACCAGACAATCTCATTAACTCAACGACTGGCACTAAAAGGCTGAAAGATGAAACAGACAGGGTCAGCGATGTTACCAAATGGATTGACTGCATGGCAAACTACATTGCCATAGTTACCCTTTCAAGACCAGAGAGACTGCGTGACCTTCTCATTTATCAAAGTCATGTTATGAGGCTTATTCGTGACAGTCATGACAAGACGTCCTGGCAAAGGTACGATGTTGCCTTCAGGAGGAAAGCAGCGCAAAGTGGTATGTTAAACTGGAGCAATGTTGATGAGAATCTTTGGATAATGGCTTGTTCACCGGATGCAAGGAAGTCAGTAACATGCAAACCATGTCTGTCAATTATGCATGACTTTAGGAATTGTCCTATTGATGCTATGAACAAGGAAGAAGATGCCAAAACAAACAAGAAAAATGCCTGGTATGAATTAAAATTAGTTTACTCTGACTTTTTAAATTAATAAGGTGTTGAATGCACTGCAGCCATGAATGAGTGCAACATGAATATATAATGGCAAATTCTTTTTCCACTTCTATTTWCATGTAACAGATTTGACATTAATTTCTTAATCTCCAGTTTCTTCTAATTCCTTTCTTTCTCTCTTTCATTCTTACTAAAACTGTTTTCATTCATTATTATTTGGTTTTCTTTCCATTTAATTGTGATTATATTTATTTGTTTTAGGGGAATAAGAAGCAAATCCCCAAACAGAGACACTCACAACAGAACAAGATCTCTGAGTCCAACAAGGGCATCAGTTTTACCCAAGGATGGTCTTGAATTGCAGTTTGCTTTTGGGTATGTAGCTTTAATGCTGATAGCAATATTCAACCTGCTGAGTACACCCTCATTTACTAACAACTTGTACTCCACTCGAACTTGTGGTCTAATAGGCCTTTTGCATTTAACGGTCACATGGTACTAAATCCGCCATACTGGATGGCAAAAGAATGTATATAACTGCAAAAACAAAAGGAACACAGCCCATCAAGCTTTTGAACATCCCAGTTGGAATTTTGCCATACAGCATGATGGATTTAGTACCATGTGACCTTTTCATGCAAAAGGCCTATTGTTAAATAATCTATGCATTACATTATATTTAACTCTTGATTGACAGTTACCATGGTTACAATGCATGCAACAATGTCTTCTATACACAAGCCAATGAGATGGTATTCCATGTAGCAGCCCTCGGCATAGTGTACAGTCCTCTCACTCACAAGCAAAGATTCTACAAAGGTCACACTGATGACATCCTCTGCTTGACTATTCATGACTTCAAGGATTATGTAGCCACTGGTCAGGTATTCATATTCATGCACTAACTTATATATGAGAAATCACACCACAAAAGAGCAACTAACGATTTAAGCCCCTGTTGATGCACTCCAAGTTGGAAAACACCRTTCTGCTAGCTACCTGTAAATATACCTATTAAATGTTTACACCTGAAGAGAGAGYATGAGGCTTATTCTCGAAACAGCGCTGTAGTGAAATCTTTATAAATTATGAAGTATCATCTATTCATGATTATTTTTCTTCACCACCTTGCTACCTACTGCATTTTGAACAATTTGACAGCTCGAGATTTGGCACTTGGCCCGTTTACTTATTTAATTATATTGTATCTAACATCTTTTTATAGGTTCTGTGAATCTAATCTACCACATATCGTTTACAGGTTGGTAGGCTTGCTGAAACTCATGTGTGGGACACAGAGTCTATGCGACTAGTGGCCAGGCTGAAGGGAGTACACAAAAGAGGCGTTATATGTGTTGATTTTTCAGGTACTGGAAAATRATAACTACTTTTGATAACTCAATTTGATCATTAAGAAAAATCCTCAATGGGACAATCTCATTATGAGATCCTCAAGTAATTTATTTAGTTTTAGTACTGCAAAAATTAAGAARAAGAATGGCTCCTTATTAAGAATTAT